TGTATTTAGCTAAAAATGAAAATTGCGCTTTTCCAAAATTTAAATCAGGGAAATATACATCAAAATTTTGTGTATTTAATGGTGTTAGAATCTTGTTGCAATCCTAAAAAATACGTCGAAAAACTAGTTGCTCAAAAATTAGTCTAAATGTGAATGTGGGATGGATGAGTGTGAATTTCGATATAATACCTACGCTCCGGTTATGATTCATTTTTATTTTTTAAAAATTTTTTAAAAACTTTGAAACAGTTCTTAATTAAAAGTCTATAAACATGAATTATGAAAATTTGTTCATTTGAAGCTTTACACGTTGAATGTCTTCCTCAATAAGACGAATATGAGGATGTGTTGAAGGTAATGCTTGGCGACGAATAGCCTCTGCTTTTTCAAAATATGCCAATGCTTGTTGCAATTCCCCTTTATCCTCATAGACAATACCTATATTCTTGAGAGTCATCGCAATCAATGGATGTTGAGAAGGAAGTGACTTTTCGAGAATTTCGAGTGACATTTTATAATTTTTCAATGCACGATCATGCTGACGAAGACACTGATAAACACCACCAATATTGCCATATGATGAGCCCAAGTCTGGATGATCACCATGGAGTTGACGTTGTTGAATGGCTAGTGCTTTTTGATAATATTCAAGTGCATCCGAGTATTTCATTTCTAACTGATAGATATTACCCATATTATTGTAACATTTGGCTATTTTTATGTTATCCTCATTGAATGCTTGCTTAAAAATCGCTAATGCCTTAGTGTAAGATTCTAGTGCCTGTCTGTAATCACCTTTCTTACGATGAACTACCCCTATACTGTTGTAACTCTCGGCAAGATCAGGATGATGCGATACTAATTTTTGCAGTTTGATTTCAAGCGATTTGTAAAACCATTCGAGACTAACATCATAGTCACCTTTTTCAAGAGCAATCTCGCCAAGATTATGATAGCAATCAGCAATGCCATTATGGTCATGAGGAAGTTCATTGAGTAAACGACGAAAGTATTTTTCAGCATCATTGTATTTACCCATATCACTGAGTACCGATCCAAATGAGAGAAGATCAGTTTGTCCATCACGTCCACCATATTGATTTTTCATCTGTTCAAAGACAGGCTTCCACGTATGATCCTTATCGCCGCATAGTTTCATTCGGATGAGCCATAGTTGATCATCGCTTCGAATATCGATCAATTGAAAGATGGATCCCAACATCATGAGTACTTCTTTTTCGTCGGTAAAATAACTGTGAATAGTAATATTGGCAAAAGGTTTAACACCATCGAGTCGAGGATCGGCATCAATCATAATTAAGACACGTTGCAAATCATCTGAGATAGTAGTAGCATCGAGAAATGCAAGTGCTTGTTTCCGCTCGATACTCGTCGAAAGAAATGAGTTCATGGAAATAAAATGTCCAATAGAACCTCTCAATACTTCTAATTCTTCATTCGACATCAATTGAC